CTAGGCAATTTTGCAGTAGATTCTCTAATTTCAGAATTACTATTGGATAAAATATGAGAATAAGGTGACACTGGGAACTCCCAAGATCTAGTAAGCAAAATGCCTGTAGCTTGTGTTTCAACACTATGTAAAATTAATAGGAATCCTCCCCACAGCAAATAGCGTATTCAAACACTTACATGTGCTGCTCTGTGGTTGTTGTGCAAATGCTTCTGTAGCCTTCATGCAGGCTGGAATGGAACGTACAGCTGATGGAAAAGAATTGTCCTTATCTAGTATTCCAAGACCTTTGACTGGATTTCCTGCAAGCACCAGTGTCTTGATGGCATGGAAAGGAAACCTTGAACACAAAGGTCTTTGGACTGACCCCTGTGTTATGCTGTCCTTCCTTTGGTCTTCTCTTTCACTGTGCTAGACATTTACTTCCTCAGGTTGGTTTCACTCTTAAAAATTGGGATCCAAAGAAATTCATTAGATAAAATCATGTGTTTTGTAGGCTGACATTTACAGAGGGTGATCAGGCCTTCAGAAAGACTGAAGTTGTTTTGGGAATGTTTTAAAATTAAATGGGATAATGCCAATTCAGGTGATTAAAGAGAACAAGCTATCAGAATTTCTGGGTATGTCCAGTTGTTTCTGTGATGTGCTGCAAGTTGTATCTCAGTGTCACTAAGCTGTTGTTACATGCTTAAGTATAGCAGCGAAGAATTTGAGTGTATATGAGAAACTGCAGTGATGACTTACAGGGGCCGTATAACGAATTTGATTGGGTGGAAACATTTATCTCTCAAGTAAAAGAGGACCTAAAAAATGTAGGAGAACATATGTAATATATCTCCATCTCCATACAATGGCTATTTTCTGTAGAGCCATATATTTCAGATGGTTATCACAATTTGGCTATGATAGCACATACACTCAGAAAGAACTGCAGATATTTTGGGTCTGATCCTGGAAGGCTGCTGCATAATGATCACAGAATCATAGGGTTGGAAGAGACCCACAAGAATCATCAAAGTCCAGCTCCTGGCCTTGCACAGGATAGTCCCAAGAATCATGATGCTCATGGTGTATTGTACATTTGTATCATATATATGACATTCTCTGCTTTTTGCAGATGCTTTAAAAATGCTCTTCCTCAAGAAGGAGCTTTGATGCAGGACAGGAACTAAGTTGCGCTGAGCCATCCAGTCAGTGGGCTTAATGGAACAAGGTGCTACTGTGAGCCTCTCCCTCTCTTTTCCATGCTCTGGGCATTAAGGAGTCACAGGGTGCCATGTCCCAACAAAACCACCTGAGTACTCACTTAGTTGCTCAGGGACAGTCATGGAGTGGCACTGAAATATCCAAGTGATTACAGAAATTGATGAGAAATCAAAGTTGCATATGGTTGCTCTAAGGTTTATTTAAGATTTTTGTTAGATTACAAGGTGACCCAGCATAAGTCAAATGTTTCTTTCTCAAAATGCTTATAATTTGATTGTGAATAATGTTCTTCATAAGACATCCAGAACTACAAGTCCCTCTATAAGGAAAAAATTCTCTGAAGAGATGTGCTGTACCAATGGGCATAAAACAAGAGCAAGACACTATATTTTGTCTGACATCACAGATTATCTCACTGTTGATGCAGCAACACAGGTCTCTTCATCAGTTTCACGGAGAATGAGGAGTACTCCCAAAGGAGAAAAAAATGAAGATAAACTGCCTTCCAGTCTCATTTGCAGCTTCAGTAGTAACAGAATTTCTCCAGTTAAAATTATTTTGCGTTGAGGAATTACAAATAAAATGAAAGCCTCAAAGAAGGAGAGGGCATGTTTCTCAGGAGTTGTTGATAACTCTGAAATACTTATTTCAAAATATGAAAGATAATTTTATATTAGAAAAACAGAAACAGCATCCGATTGCATCTTCTGAGCTTTAATAAGAAGGTCTTGGCTTAGAGTTTTAGAATTATATGACAAGATCTATCACACTTCTGTTCTGTACAAAAAAGAGAAACAAAACACTCCCAAAACAACAACAACAACAAAAAAACCCCAACCAACCCCAAAATTCAAAATTATTTTCCATGTATTTTAATTGAGTAGAACGAGTTACTGATTTCTAGATCTCATAAGAAGATCTAACAGATCACTGTGAGACTTAGAAAGTATAAGCTTTACAAATTCCTTCTTGAGAAAAGCAGATTAGCCTGAAAAAAATGGAACCAAAGAGTGCCCTTGGCTGAGGTTGCAGCAATACAGAGTAAGTTTTTGCAGTATGGCTGTGCAGCATAGGTGAAATATAGCTTACAAAATAGAACATTATTTCCTTTACATTATTCTTAATCTATTCATGTCCTGTCTATATAGTTGGTAAACTTACAACTGCAGATGTAGGTAGTAAGGTTCATATACTTTAGTTCAAGAAACTGCAAATACGAAAAAGGTCCTGAAAAGAGAGTCCTTAAAATGTGCTCTTTGGCTGCAGATATTTCATCCTGAAACCTCAGATTTTAAAGGATGGATAGTCCACTAAATATTAATGTCACTAACAGGTGTGAGTTTCATTTTACAAATAATTTAAAAAATTAAAAAGCTCATGTTCTTAAGCTCTGCAACACCAGTAATGACATTACGTATGAAGATATTCAGGCCCACAATACATTCACAAATATAATGTCACGCCAGTTTGCATTGTCTCCTGTAATTATACTTAAAAATGATCATAGATCTAGAGCCAAATTGCACATTCATGTGGAATAAGGGAATCCCAATACCCAACATATTTGCTTGCAATTGAGAAAAAGAGCATTATTCGCAATTTAGAGCAATTTAGCTTTGTTCCTGTCCCATTAGTAGGAAGAAAATAATTTTTCAATTACTCATCACCTAGAGAGTTTTTAAAAATATAAATCAATAAACTTTGCTTTCCAAAGAGGCAAACTCAAGATAGCTTTCTCATTCTCTCAGCTAAAATTTTCCCTGTAATATCTACAGATACATGAAAGAATTTACTGAATGCATGCATACTTTGGAAACACTGGTGTTAAAAAAATAGGTTTTTCATTGGAGTGTGCATTCTTATAAGCGTTTATAGCTGGAAGGGAGTTTGTAAATCATCATCATCATCATGACTAGGCTTCGCAAACGAAGATTTGGGAAGGACTCTACCCACATTTGCTACAAGCCCCCTGGTGTCTAAAAAGGCCAATGCGAGATAGACACATCGGTTGCAAAAGGCACAGTGGAAAGACTCCTTAGGTGGTATCGACAAGACACAGTTCTTTCTATGTCATCTTTTCTCCTCGAGAGTGATCCTGTATGCGTTCTCAAAAGAAGCAGCAGTGTTATAGTGTGTCTCCAGACCTCCCAGTTGGAGGCCAGAGTAGACCAATGATGATCGATATGGTCAAGGTTGAGACATTTTTTCAGAGAGTCCTTGTATCTCCTCTTCAGGGCTCCTCTCTTGCGGCAGCCGGTGGCAAGTTCACCATAGAGCACGATCTTAGGGAGGCGGTGGTCCTTCATCCTGGAGATGTGTCCTACCCAGCGCAGCTGTGTTCTCAGCAACATGGCCTCAATACTTGTGACTGCTGCTTGTTCTAGAACAGACACATATTAGTCAGGTAATCTGACCAGTGGATGTTTAGGATTGTAAGGAGGCAGCATTGATGGAAGTGTTCTAGGAGTCGCAGGTGGTGGTGATAGATGACCCATGATTCAGATCCATATAAAAGAGTAGACAGCACAATGGCTCTGTAAACACTGATCTTTGTGCTTTTCTTCAAGTGTTTATTTCGCCAAACTCTTTTATGGAGTTTTCCGAAAGCACTATATGCCTTTGCTAACCTGTTGTCTATCTCCCCGTCAATCTTACCATCCGAGGAGATGAGGCTGCCTAGGTAATTAAACTGCTGAACTGATTTGAGTTCTGATTGGCCAATGGTGATATGGGGATGATGGGGGACTTCCTGAGGTGCAGGTTGATAGAGAACTTCTGTCTTCTTCAAGCTGACTTCCAGCCCAAAAAGCTCAGCAGCCTCTGCAAAGCAGGATGTTAAACGCTGCAGGGCTGCTTCTGTGTGGGCGATGAGGGCGTCATCGTCAGCATAAAGCAGCTCCCGGACAAGATGATTTAAGGTCTGAATATGGGCCTTCAGTCGCCTTAGGTTGAACAGGCTTCCATCAGTACAATATCGGATGTAGATACCATTTTCTTCCTTGAGGTCTGCCATGGCCCTTTGGAGCATCATGCTGAAAAAATTGTGAATAGAGTTGGTGCAAGAATGCAGCCTTGTTTCACACCACTGGTTATTTGAAAGGGCTCAGAAAGTGCATTGCCATATCTGACTTGGCTGCACTGATCCTCATGGAGTAAGATGGTTATTTTAAGGAACTTGGGGGGACATCCTCACTGTTCCAAAATCTGCCACAGTCAGTATTGAAAGCTTTGGTGGGATCAACAAAGGTTACATAGAGTCTTTTGCTCTGTTCCCTACACTTCTCTTGCAGTTGTCTGAGAACAAATACCATGTCTGTGGTACTCCTATTGGCTCTGAAACCAAATTGGCTTTCAGGTAGAAGTTCTTCTGCTATAGCAGGTATTAGTCTGTTCAAAAGTATTCTTGCCAGGATTTTACCAGCAATGGAGAGCAGAGTAATACCTCAGTAGCTTGTAGGTATGGGCTTACTTAAGTACAATTGAAATACAGTGGCAAATATGGGCAATACATGACTACAAAGCCTAGTTTCTAAAAATCCACTCTAATTCCTTTACAGTGGATTTTTAGAAACTAGGCTTTGTAGATTCACTATTCTTGTCTGCAATTTATTTGTTTATTTTTTAAGTTAAGCAAATTATGAACATTTTATGCTAGCATTTCCTGAAAATTTACATGAGGATTGATTTTTATCAATTAAGTACCAGCACATACTTTTGTGCAACTAATCCCTGAATTTCTGCTCTTGAGGAGCTTTTTTGTT